TTTCGGGTCCGCAAAGCCATTTTTAGTTAATCGGTATTTAAAGACAGAGAGGTGTATACGACTGAAAGTTCTTGTATGAAGAGAACGTCTGCTCGTATTAAGAGTATGTCCATAAAATAGCCCTGAAGTCATAAAGTTTGACATTTTGCTACGGCGCTGCTACGGCTTTTCGGGTGCGAAAACTTTTCTGGACCTTCGAGAAACAGGCCCCAGATGTTATTAAAGGGTAGAGATCGTAAGAGTTGATGTATAGCAAACTTAAGGACACTTTCGATACATTAAAATTCAACTTGATAGCGAGGCCTAGAGGACACAAACAAAAGAAATGAATAAACATGTCATTCAGTTCTATGGAAAGAGGTCATTCAGTTCCCTTTGTTTGTNTAGGCTCCACCCGAATGGGCCACCTTTTTCAGGCCAGAGGCCCGTTTCTCGAAAGCCCCGGAAACTTTTCCGGCCCGCAAAGCCATTTTTAGTTAATCGGTATTTAATGACAGAGAGGTGTATACGACTGAAACTTCTTGTATGAAGGAAACCTCTGTTCATATTAAGAGTATGTGCATAAAATAGCCCTGAAGTCATAAGGTTTGAGATTTTGCTACGGCTTTTCGGGTGCGAAAACTTTTCGGGACCTTCGAGAAACAGGTCCCAGATGTTATTTAAGGGTAGAGATGGTAAGAGTTGATGTATAGCAAACTTAATGACACTTTCGATACATTAAAATTCAACTTGATAGCGAGGCCTAGAGGACACAAACAAAAGAAATGAATAAACATGTCATTCAGTTCTATGGAAAGAGGTCATTCAGTTCCCTTTGTTTGTGTCCTCTAAGCCTCACTATCAGCTGAATTTTAAGATATCGAAAGTGACCTATATTATTGAGCCTGAGAGTTTGAATAGAAAAGAAATTGAAGTTACAAGAGGGCCGGGAATGTTTCCAAGTTAAACCTATACATGTTTTCAGGGACTTTGACACGATCGAACTTCGTTCGGCGCGAGATACATAGTTACATATAAATCGTGAGAGAAAATCTGGAGATTCAAAGAGCAGTTTGCTGAGAAGAGAATGCTTTTTAGGAATATAGAGGGAACTTCACTAAAAGCTATAAATGTATTTGTAATTTGAATAACATTTTTGATCTTCTGCAAATGGTTAAAATGAAGAATTTCTGA